CCCCAAAACCCCAAAACCCCAAAACCCCAAAACCCCTTTATTTTAGTAAAAAATTGAACTTTATCTAAGTCTTTGCAAATATATTTTACTTTGACTTGAGGAGGTACAAATAGAATTTTCAGCTTATCAAACTCACTTAAGCCACCCAAATTATTTGTTTTCAGAAGTTTTCTAAGTCAGAGTCTAAAGCGTTGCTACTTGACAAAGCTCAATAGCACTTCTGAGCTGGCAAGTTATCATTAATTTTTGTTTTTCGTTAAAATAAGCTAGCAGGATTCTTCTTAACTATACTTGAATTCTTCTGGAATTCTTGCTTAAAGCATTTTAGTGCTGGTTTACTATTGAGGCTTCTTCAAATATGAACTAACTTTGAATGGTAAGAGATGCCTTATAAACTTAAAATTAGGCTAGATTCTTTATTTGTGCTGTTGCGTTCAATGGTCAAGATGAAGGTTAAAATACTGGTTCTTCTCCGTTGTAGAATAAGATTTTCAACTAGCTTCTTGTTGTAAGCTTTAAGAGCTATGAGGCCTCTGAAGCTTACAATCTTGATCAATTTTAAATGTAAATACACTCAACTAGAAGCTAAAAGAAATGCTTGTGAGTGAAAACATGTGACCTGATTTTGAGCCTGTTTAATTTGTAGAGGTAGAAAATATTTATTCTCTCATATCTCATTTCTTTACTAATCAGAGCTTCTACTCTATTTATCCACAATTTCTCCTTGATTCGGACTCTGAAGGTCTTGAGTAGATTATCTTAAAACATCTATAAAGCTAAATACGCAGCCTTAAGTTCGATCATCTTTCCACGTCCACTGGTGTGCTCAGCATTAAAACCAAGCTAAACATGTGTGTTCCTTCTTCACAGGCCAGGTTTCACTTAAGTGTTCAGTACAGAAAATTTCCCATAAAGGTAGTTGAAGCTTTGTAAAGGGTGACTGTTCCTTAGGCCGATGATATCTCGACCATTAGAAACTCTAGCCTTAACTAATTGATTTTTTGATGATGAGGTGTTTTAGAGTTTTATATTCCAGAAATAAATACTACCAAAAGGGAAAAGGCTGCAGTTTAAAACAAAATTTATAAAATTTGTAATTATTATTTATCTTCAGTACTTATAATTTGGGCTATCTTAGATTTGGATAACAGGCACTCTGCTCTTAACCTTTATGTTGAGAAGATAAATTTTGGGATTCTTGGAACATTACTGTTTTTATGGATTGCTTTGTACTTCAGATGCTCTTTCTTTAAAAATTATAGCATAGGTGTCATTGTTTTTACTTAGACTATCCTTAACAAGACTTAATTTATTCATGGTTATTACACAATCCTTATAATTGTACTCCATAAAAGAATCGGTTCCATTATTAAAGAAATAGATTATTGGCAGCTGAGATCTCCGTTTTGATAGTATTATATTAAATTTCTAAATTCTTCAGCATTGAAGTTGATATCAATTCGTTGATCTTTTAATTTCCTTAGAACTTGTGTATCTAAATGATTAATATATCATTAATATGTCTTTGAAATTCAGTAAGCTCGAGCACATCTAAACTGCTTGGAATGACCTCAGATCTAAAGATTATAGAACTTACCTCTTTCTTCTGTTAGGTGTTTAATAAATTCTTACATATTTCAACTGGAGATGCATCTTCTGATAGTTTATTCTTTTCCTCTGATATGAAGAGACTTTACTGTTATAGATGAGGTCTGCTTTATAAACTCTTACGTTTTATTGCTTGTAAAACTTAGTATTTCAAGATTTGTTATGCTTTCATCAATAGCAATTAAGAAGTTTTTAGTATCCTTTTATTTTTTATTTTTAATACTTAGAGTCAGAATCAGGGAGCTAACGCTACTTAGTCGCTTTGAATTGTTAAATAGGAATATAATAACTCTCTTCTTAAAGCCCTGCATTCTTCTAATCCAATTTTGAAGATACTCTGATATCATTAAGCTTAATATGTTAGAAAAGAATTTTAAAGTTCTATAAAATTATTAGTCAGACTAAATTGGTGATACTGCTTAAGGTGTATACTTTCTCACAATAGAGCATTTGTGTATATTCAGCTTCATAATAAGCTAATTGTTTTAACCAAAAACTACGGATTCGTAGCAAGGATTGCCACAATGGTGTATTTAATAAGAATGTAAATTCCAAGATTCTCTTATTTTATAATATAAAGCTGCTATTATTCATAACATACAGGTTAATTTCCTAGCCATACATGATGAAATATGGAGCTTTTATTAAATGATTGCGCTTACCTTAGTTTCAAATAAATATATTAGAGTTTATTATTAAGCCTGAGTCTTTACTTACTTATTACATTCGGAAGTGTAAAAGCATCTTTACTCTTAAACACTTCAAGTATTTATGGTGATAAGATGATATTCAAGGAATATCTAACCTGTAGCATAGCTTTGTGATATCACCATGTCTTTTGGGGGTTCTGTGCCTTAATTTCCCTCTAGTTTTGGCTTTTCAAATGTATGATAATTAAAATTTTCATTTTAAAAATAATAATTAATATGAAATTCCAATATTTGTTGATTAAAAGGGGTTTTGGGGTTTTGGGGTTTTGGGG